ACTTTCCCCCAAATATCATAATTACAGAAGCATATATTACTGGCAACGCCCTCAAACACAAATGATTCCTTTATCACACGGATCACACTGAAGTGGTGAGCCTTAACACAAAAATAACTGAGTGTCCAACTGCACTGCCTACACTGCTGGCTAACAACCAAATGAATGCCTTTCTACTGTTGTTGACTATGAGAAAATTTCTAAGGTTTACAACGTGATTTTATGTACGTTAGCTGTGATTTCTCCCACCTTAAAAATAAAACGAACCCCTCTCTTGACCCTACTTCCACTGTCATCTTCAATCCTATCCCTTTGCTCCCCTATGCAGCAAAATTCCACTGAAAGAACTGTCTAGACTTCTGTCTCCAATCCTTTCCTCCCATTCACTCTTAAAGACACTGAAATGGAGCTTTTGACCCCACCACTCCACTAAAACTACTCTTGACAACATTATCAATGACCCTGTTAAATACAAGGTGAATTCCCAGTCTGCATCTTACTAGACCTATCAGCAGCATTTGAAATGGCTGATCACTCTTCCTTCACAAACTTTTCTCCCTTAGCTTCTAGAACGTGAAATTCTCTTGGTTTCCTTATCTCACTGATAAATCCTCCTTCTCTACGCTACATTTCAATACTGAAGTGCCCTAGAGCTCAGGCGTTGGTCCTCTACACTCATTCTCCTCTGGTAATCTCATCCTGACTTTAAATATTATCTTTATGCTGACAACTCCAAAATGTATAGCTTCCAAAGTTCAGACCTGTATATCCAAGTAACTCTGACTGTACATCTAACAGATCTCTCAAAATCAACATGGCTAAAACCTGAACTCACTTTTGACCCTAGATCTGCCTCACTCACAACCTACCTGTCTCAGCTGAATGCAAATCCATTCTTCCAGTTAGTCCAAAAACCTTGGAGTTAATTTGACTCCATCCAATTTATCAGGAAATCCCATCAGCTTTCCTTTGAAATATATACAGGATCCAACCCGTTCATATCACTTCTACTGCTACCATCCTGATATGAAGCACTATCACTTCTTACCTAGATTACTACAACAGCCTTATAACAAGCCTCTCTGCTTCCATCCTTATAGCTCTAAAGTCTAGTCTCAGCAAAAAAACCCCCATTATCTGGGACATTAAGAACGTTCTTTAACACTCTTTGAGGGTCTACTATATAGACCCAGCCAGAATGATCCTCTTACGAATTATCAGATTGTGTCACATCTCTTTCCAAAATCCTGCAATGCTTCCTTTCACTTAGGGTTAAAATCAAAGTCCTTAAAATGACCTCAACAGACCCATTACCTCTCTGATATTATCTCCAACTATTCTCCTCTATTCACCCATTCCAGTCACATTGGCCTCCTCATTGCTCCACAAACACCAAGGCACCCTCTTGCTTTTGCACTGGCTGTTCCCTCTGCCTGGAATTTCTTCCTAGAGAATTTTGTTGTACCCCTCACCTTCAAATCTTTGGAAACTTCTAACCTCCTCAATGATGCCTACCAGCTGACCTTATACAATTCAGAATATGCTTTCTTCTCTGCTCTCCAGGCAGTGCTACTGATTATCCTATTCTATTTCTTCTTTTTTCCTTTGCAGTTATCACCTTCTACCATACTACATGATTTGCTTATTTCTAATGTTTACTGTTTGTTTCCCTACACTCCTTTTAAAATATAAGTTCCAAGAGGCCAGAGATCACTGTTTTGTTCACTGAGGTATGCCAAGTACCTAGAATAATGCTTGCCACATAGTAGATGTACAATAAATACTCACTGAATGAATTTCATTCTTATAATAATGACCATGTGAGGTAGGTGTTACGTATTATCATCCCTATTTTACAGATGGCAAGGTTGTAAGATCGGGGGCGGGGAGTAGAGATGACTAAGTTTTTTATCCAAGATTATCACACCATTTGTCAAACGGCGGTGATGGAACTCAAATCAGTATCTTTGAATTCTCCAAATACTAGAGCAGTAAATAATTTAACAACCATTTCGAAAAATAACCCCCCACAATATATAGTTAAGCTAAATTTCTTTTAATATTAAATATTAATATTTATTGTTTATTATATCCTTACAAAAAAGTCTTCACTGGTTTGACTTTTAATTTAAAAATATTCAGTTTATTTTTTCTCAGCGTTGGGCAGAAGACCCAAACTTTAAGGGTGGCTTTAATATAAAGGTGATTCTATTGTATCAAAATCATATTCTCTGAATTTCTAAGACCTTCTATTAAGTAGATAAGGCAATGCTTAATTTCTCTTTTCCTGATTGGGATTCAATTCTGTTTATATTATAAAATTTAGGAAAAGGTTTAAGACAGAGAAGTATATTTTCAGCTGAGAGGTGATAAAACTTTAAGAAACAAACTTGCACATGGAAGGGCTCTGTGATGGTTAATGTTATGTGTCAACCTGGTTAGGTCATGGCACCCAAATATTTGGCCAACCATTATTTTAGATGCTTCTAGGAAGGTACTTTTTAGATGATTAACATTAAAATCAGCAGACTTTGAGTAAAGCAGATTACCCTTCATAATGCAGTAGGTCTCACACAATCAGCTGAAGGCCTTACTGGAATAAGGACTGACCTCCCCTGAGCAAGAAGGAATTCTATCAGCGGACTGTCTTTGGATTCAAACTGCAACTCTTCCCCGAATCTCTAGCCTGCCAGCCTATGCCATCAGATTTTGGACTCGCCAAGCCTCCACAATCACGTGAGACAATTCCTTAAAATAAATCTCTCTCTCTATATATACACATATGCTATTGGTTCTGTTTCTCTGAAGAACCCTGACTCATCAAGGTTCACAAACAAAACTGTTTCTATGTTCAAGAGTTATTAGTGCGTTAAAAACACTGAGAAACCCTATCAGTCACACTAGTGTTAATTATCTATGCTTTCCTATCAATAAAATAATAAAAGTGTTAGCAAGGTTGAAAAACAAAAAACTCTGGGATACAATGCCATTACTGACCCTTGGGAGTAGAGAGACTCGCTTTACCACACAATAAAAACATATCACATACTAATGATAATTCTAGAGTTGCTAGCTTTTTTTTTTTTTTTCAGCCTAAGGAATCCTTTGTTCAAGAGAAACCACTCTTAGAATCCCCAAATGTTAACGTGATTAAAAGAGAGGTGATTTGATTTAAACAAGGACAGGAAACTCTTCCAGACCTCCTCTTAAAAAATAAGAAGTCGAGGCCGGCCTGGTGGCGCAAGCAGTTAAGTGCGCACGCTCCACTGCGGTGGCCCGGGGTTCACCAGTTTGGATCCCGGGCGCACAGCAACGCACCGCTTGGCAAGCCATGCTGTGGCGGCATCCCATATAAAGTGGAGGAAGATGGGCATGGACGTTAGCCCAGGGCCAGTCTTCCTTGGCAAAAAGAGGAGTAGTGGCAGATGTTAGCTCAGGGCCAATCTTCCTCACAAAAAAAAAAAAAAAAGTCGTCACTGAGGGCTGCTGAAGTACTTTGAGGTGCTACAGAACCAAGTCTGAAAACCAGTCCAACTGCCTTGCCCCCAACAAACCCTGTGGTGTACTGTCACCACCACCATCCTGGGCATTTTATAGAAACTACAGACATTAAATGATTTGCTCAAGGCTGAAAAATTAGTTAGCAGCCAAACTGAGGCCTTCTAACCTTGCCCTTTATTATCTTGACTATAGATGCAAATTTTTAAAAAACTAAAAGCTATCTTTTTGTCTTTTTTTTTTTTTGCTGGGAAAGATTCACCCTGAGCTAACATCTGTTGCCAACCTTCCTCTTTTTTTTTTTCCCTCCCCAAAGCCCCAGTACATAGTTGTGTATAGTTCTAAATTCTTCTAGGTCTTCTATGTGAGCTGCCGCCGCAGCATGGCTACTGACAGACGAGTGGTGTGGTTCTGCACCTGGGAACTGAACCTGAGCCACTGAAGTAGAACGCGCCAAACTTGAACCACTAGGCCATCAGGGCTGGGCGAAAAGCTATCTTTCTAAATATGCAAAAACAGTTTACCTGCGCAATGTGGCAGGTTAGCAGAAGGAAGAAAACACACAACAGAACCCTGTAGTAGGGTTCATATTGGCACATCTGCCTCTCTGGCATTGCTCCTGCTGACTTCACTGTTCCTATGAGGAGAGGAAGGGTGCTGAGGCTTTATTTTACCTGTAATATTGGCTCTATACTAATGACATAAGTAGATTCTGTCCAGGATTAATAGTGCAGCAAATTACAGCATTGAAATATAAATTAAATTATAATTATTTATTTCCGGACAACAGATTTTTGGTAAAAGCTGGCCTTATAATAGGACATAAAATATTTATATGCAACTTTGTAAAAAATCACGTTTTTACCTTGAAACATAAACATGAGCAATTCAATGAAATGAATGGATAAACAGTATTATTTTCTCCATTTGACACAGCAAGAAATATTAAATGACTTGTTCAAGGTCACATGGAAAATGAGTGTCAAGATATCATTTAAGGTTCTAACTCTAATCTACTAGAATTTGAACTCTAGAAGGGCAGACACTGTCTCTCTTGTGTTCACTGCTGCCAGCACCTACCACAGCACCATGCACATCACTGGGGTTGACGCTAATATCAGGGCACATGCTCTGAACAAGTACTAGGAGAGCTGACTGCATTTGATAAAGAGGGAAAATGACTGATAAATGGACAGTAGTTCCCTTTCATACCACAAACAAGGCTAATCTGTACTGAAGAACGGAGACTGAAATGAGTTACAAGAACAAAATGCTCAACCATGGATTACAGGTCAATATCATGGACTTACATCATCCATCTTTAAGACGATTATTTCCAATTGAACCTCATTCCCACTACTTATGAAGAGTGGCAGCAGTCAGCATCCCCTGGTCCTATTTTTTCTATCATTTGACTTTTATATTCTGCATCACAAATCTTGAGAAACTCCTTATAGAAAAAGTTGGAGCCTCTTCCCACCAGCAATCAAAATCATACAAACCTCTGTCAGTTGTTTCAATTGGCCTTTGTTTTCACTTAATTCTTCTGATAGGTCATTCTTTTTCACTTGTAGTTCAGAAATTTCCTTTCTTAATGGATCCACCAGTTCATAGAACCGAATCTTTTAAAAAAAAAATCAAATTAATAAGCAGTCTTGAAATTCAAATTACAATTAAAATTTGCTAATTTATAGCACTCTCAATTATCAGTAATCAAAAGAAGTATTAAGGTAATAAAAGGAAAGAGTTAAGGAGTTTCAGATTATATGCCTGTACAATAAAGTTTTGTTTTACTGGTACAAAACTAAAACAAGACAGTGGTTAATTGACTCTGACCACTAATACTTTATTGTCTTAATGTTGAATTCAATTCCCTCAAGGCCCAGATTATCTAGGACTCCTCATCCCTGACACTGTGTCTCTTTCCTCTCTTCTATCAATACTCCATTTACTACTTACTCATCTCCTACTACTGCTCATGCCAACTATCTGCTTGTTACTTCCTGAACACATCAAGTGTTCAAGAGTTTTGCTCTTGCTGTTTCCTCTCAGAGAGAAGTTCTTCCCACATATAAAGTCGTGGCTCAGCTTTCACTCCCTTCAGGTCTCTGAGCAAATGTCCCCCTACCAGTAAAGCTCTCCTTGATCCCCCCAACCTGATTTAAAATAGCATCCCCACCTGGTGAAGAAAGAAAGTCCCTATTCTTCACTCCTGCTCTCTTCTCCATAGCATTTATGACAAACATTCTATATATTTTACTTTTAATTTACTGTCTGTGTTGTTCCACCAGCATGTAAGCTCCATGAGGGCAAAAATTTTTGTCTGGTTTGTACATTGCTCTATCTCCGATGCCTAAATATACAATAAGCCTACATCCCAGGCTCTTGGTGAAGCTCTACTTACCACCACTGCAGTGTAAGGGTGAATCAGGAGTGTCTTTCATATCACTACTTCCATTCAGTTCAGACCTCTCTTCTCACTCATAATTCTCTCAGGGGAATTTGCCTGCCCTAACCTAGTAAAGTGTTCTACCTGACAAGTTTCTATAAAACTAAGAACCCACGAGCAAATTAGGAGAGGGTAATTAGGGACTATGTATTCTATAGGCATACAACCTGAGACTCCTTAATATATTGCTGTATTGCAAGAGTACCATATCTGTTAAGAGGCAAGTCCTAAGGTTAGTCCTCAACACAATGGATCTACATATAATTAATTAATTAGCATAATAATACCTGTGAAAACAAAGATATGACAAGGAACATCAACAAATCAGACAGCAAAAATATGTATGACTGCCACTAATGGGATACTTGATATCTACTATGGATAAAGCTTCAAGGACAGCACTTAAGATATTTAATTTGCTTTGGACAGTACATGCTGGGCAGAAAAATTATATCTGAGCTATTTAAATAAAAAGCTGGACAAAAAGGTAATACTTCATTTCATAGAAAATCATTAATCTGGAAACCTTATCCAAATCAGAACCAAGAGTAGCAACCACCACTCTAGCAAAAATAATAGGTAATATTTATTATGTATTTACTATGTTCTAAGTTCTGTGCTGAGCATTTTAGGTACATAATCATAGCTAATCTTCACAATTACCTCAATAGAAGGCACTATGATTATTATTAACCTTTTTATAGATGAAAAAAATTCAAGCCTCTTAAGGTGAAATAACATCTATATATCAGAAACCAGCAGTTCTTAATGTGTGGTCTGGGGAGCTCCGGTCCCTCCCCCACTACTCTGAGACCCTTTCAGGGAATTCATAAGATCAAAACTATTTTCCTAATAATACTAAGATTTTTTTGCCCGTTTTACTCTCATTCTTTTATGCCTGGTCAGTGGCATTTGCCAGTGACTACATGATGTGTGATGATATCATCACCTTTAAGGCTAATGGAATGTGTGCTTATGTACTTGTGTTTTAGAAATGTCTCAGTTTTCATTTCTAATACGATAAATATTAACAGATATAGTGCATCTAAACAAGAGCTCTTTGGGGTCTCAGTAATTTTTAGAGTGTAAAGGGATGAGGACACCAAACAATTTGAGACCACTGCCATAGACCAATTCTATGTATAGATTTGTATAACCAACACTGCAATCGAGATCCTGAACTAGATCCATAAAGATCTCCCTTATCCAACCCCTTTATCATCATATATCAACTCCCCTCTCCTCAACTATCCCTAACCCCCAGTAACTACTATCTGTTGTTTATCTCTATAATTTTTCATTTTGGTGGATTTTACAAACCACCAGTTTATGGTAAGAAAATTCATTTCTATAGACTATGCAGCCATTAACTTCAGAGCTCTATTTATTGCTTGACTTCTGAGATCAATGGTCAAGACTCTAAAATTTGCTGATTGAACACCATTCACCATCTTCAGATCAGGGCCATAAAATAATTTATCAATTGGGTACTTCAAAAGTTATGGCTACAACATAAATGGCAAATTTTAGTCTGAAAATATATGCATTTTTTTTTTTCTTTAAATGATACAAGACACTTACAGATACATATTCAGGAATAGAAAGCTGATCTTCAGGAAAACCTTTTAGTTTCATATATTGCTCCTCTGTCAAGTCAAAGTCACGCAGGTTTCGACGAATATCTCCAGCTTTCTCTCTTAGCTGAAGATTTGTCTCTTCTAGTTGTTTCTGTCTCAATAAAATAGTTTCCATTTCTTGTTTCATCAGTTCTTGATATTTTCTACGTTAAGAGAGAATTTATGGCAGGCTTAAAAAAATTCTTGAGATTTAATTTTCTCAAAGTCACCTTTTTATAGTAACATAAAATTAGGAAATGAGAAGCTCAATAGTATTTTTGGCTCTAGCTAAATGCTTATTTACTTAACCAGTTAAACATAAACTGACAATTCTATACTAAGTACTAAATGTGCAGCCACATAAATTATTAAACAGAGAATATTCTTAAAGAATAATTTTAAAAATTCAAATTACAAAAGTATACATTTCCTCTGCTTAAGGTTTAAGTCTTATACATCTGCTTTGGACCCTACTCATTAATTTTCACTTCCTTTTATCCAGGTACTTCAAGGTATACCTCTTTAAGATGGTATACCCCATAAGGTATTCATTCAGCCAATGAGGTAATGAAAACAGTAATCTGCACATAATCATCATTCTCAAAGAATACATGGAGTAGACATTGTTATTATTAGTTACCCACCCAAAGACTTTGAGCAAGAAGTGACCATCTGATTTTTTCCCCTCCCTACTGTATCACTCCCATCAACATAAAAACATTGTTATTTCTCCAAACTTACAACAAATGAACAAACGAAAAACACAACTTTTGACTCCATTTCACTGCGGCCTCTGTTTGCTCCCCCATGGAGCAAAACTTCTCAAAAGCTGTCTATATTCACCGTCTCCAACGCTTTTCCTCTTCAACCCATGCCAGTCAGGTTTTCACCCTCCTACTGAAATCTCAAGGTCACCAATGCCATCTAGATTGCTAACAGTCAATTCTCAGTTCTTTTCTCCCTAACCTATTGATAGCGTTTGACACAAGTGATCTCTTCTTCCTCATACACTTCGTTCTCCTGGGTTCCAAGACACCATACTCTCTTCACGTTTCTCCTATTTTACTGGTGGTGCTTTCTCAGTTTTCTTTTCTGGTTTGTCTTAATGTTGGAGCACCTGGTCCTCTCCTCTTTCTATATTCACTCCCTCGGGGAATTCATCCAGCCTCATTCATGACGTAGATACTGTCTATATACTAACGACTCCCAGATTTATATCTCTAGACCAGACTTTTCATATACCTCCACATGGATTTCTAATAAGACAACTCTAATTTAACATGTGCAAAATGAACTCTCCCTCTTTACTCACATACCTATTCGAATCACTATGTTTTCTCCATCTTAGTTGACAGCAACTCCATCCCTTCATTTATTCAGGCCAAAAATGGTGGCACAATCCCTGGCTCCTCTTTTTCTCTTAAACCTCACATCTAATCCATTAGGACATCCTATCAGCTCTACCTTCAAAACATATTCAGAATCTTAACTACTTTTTACCACCATCAGCTATCAGGAGGATTACAGCAATAGGCTCCTAACTGTCCTCTCAGCATCATTCCATCAGGTAACTGTCTAAACAATTAGAGTAGAAGCTCTATTATTGAATGCAGTGGTTTTCAAAGTGTTATCCCCGAACCAGCAGCAGCTCAACATTACCTGGGAACTGGGTAGAAATGCAGATTCTCAGGACACAGCCTAAATCAGAACCTGAGGGTGGGACCCAACAACCTTTTTTTAACAAGACTTCCAGGTAGTTCTGATGCATTCTAAAGTTTGAGAGCCACTGATCTAATGTGATAGTGACTAATAATTGGTCAGATAATTTTTTAAAATATCAGTTAAACAGTGAAATCTTACAAAGGGAAAAGATACCTACTTTACACATTTACTTCTAATTAAAATATAGAAATAAACACTCATCTGCCAAATTTTTTACATATGGTTCAGATTTTTTTTAATACAGAGGTATGCTTTGTTTTTGTGTAAATCATTCTTCATAATTTCCAAGTTCAATCTCATTACAATGGAGGAGACCTTAAAAGATACTTGGGAAGAAATCTGAGAGGATACTTTTTATGGATTTGTTTGATGTTTTGCCCCTAATCTCTAAACCTGCCTTGCTTACACTTAATTTGATGATTTTTTTAGTCCCTCACTTTTACTGAATCTTTCTAAAGACTTTATTATAGTTTTCATAGAAATGACACATCTTTTTTGTACTCCTACTTCCTCATATAATTTTTAATTAAGTTATATAAGTATAATAAGTACTATTGGCATAGGCATATTTGAGAGTAAACACAATGGACTCTTGATAAGTACACACTGAGCTGGAGAAAGTATGCAGGCAAACAGAAGGTACTTTAAGCCAGGAGAGTTCAATGGGCCGTGAGACTCAATCAGTATGCTTTACAGAGCAAAAGAAGAAAGGTTAACCCAGACAGCAGGTTAAGTGGTGGTCAGTTTAGAGAGCTTCCACTGTCGTCTGCGGTTACTCACATTGGCAATGTTTGCTGAATGAATAGTGAATTTTGACTTTTTGTATTTTGTGTTCTGTATCCAGTAACCTACTTTTTTTGTTGCTCTGGATGTAAAAATTATGACCACCTTTGACTTTAAATTTCTCTATTTTAGCATATAATTATAATCACATGCATGAACAGGTAATGATGTTACTTCTTTTTTTTTTTTAACTTTTAACTGCTAAATAGGTATTGTGGCTTTTTAAAAACTTTTCTTACCTGGCATCCTTCTGCTGGAAAGTCAATTGGTTGTCTAATCTCAATGTTAGTACCTGCTTTTGGTGAAGTGCATCATTAAGTTTCTCTTCCAATTCTTCAATCTTAATTAAGAGAAAAGGTAAATTATATGGTTAATTTTCAAATTTATCATAAAAAAATCTTCTGTTTGAAAAATACTAAACATAAAAAAAGCACTTAAAAGAAACAGGCTAAAAATGGATAGAAGATTTTTTGCAATGGTTGTGTCCACAAACTACAAAGTCTGTTCATACAAATGGTTTCTAAACTATGGTTTGAAACTGCTGCCTCATAAATGGTTTTTTGCCAGGCTATCATTAAGACCATTTTTTTCCCTTAACCCACTCACTGAGAAGCCCATTGACAACAGGGATTGTATGCTAGTGCCTCGCCCAGGTAATTATTTCCAGGCCAGATCCTGCATTTGTACTCTAAATCCATATATCTGACTACTACACATCTTCCACTGGCTACTATAAACGTCCAAAGCAAAACTAGTCATTAACCCTACCTAATCCTATATTCCTTGCACCTCCCTAGTTTCCAAAGCAAAAAAATTTGAGTTGTGTTTGATATGTCTAATTCTCTCTCACTGCTTATTCTGATCAGACACCATTTTTTTGTTGCTGAGTTTACTCATAAATTGCTGTCAAAACTGTCCTCTTTAACAGCCACTGACAAGTCTTCAGTTAGACCCATATCACCTCTCTCCTGGACTATTATAATGGTTTCCTCACTGGTTTCCCTGCCTCCAGTTTTGTCAACCTCCAAACCTATCTTCCTTTATTTTACCTTTTAAAAATGCTATCAAAAATTTATTTCCCCAGTTCTACATCCTTCAGAGGATGCTGTCTTCAGAATAAATTCCAAACTTCATGGCATAATATACTAGTCCCTCTTTATCTGGCCCTCACCAATCACTTTTCTTGTCACTAGCTTAAAAGAAAACACTGTTCCAGCCAAATTAAGTGCCTGCCATTCCCCACATATGCTGTGCTCTCTCTTAATCCTCTATGCACTTGGATTTTGCTCTTAGTCTGTTTAGAAAATTCTTTACTCTCTCCCTGTCAACACAGGCAATTCTTGTTCACCTTTTAAAATAGATTATTTAACAGCCAATCCTTAATATCCCCCTCTCTACTGCATCATCAAATTCCCCCTCTCTACTGGATCATTCCTATCATTAACCAAACATGTTCTATCTTCCACTAAGAAAACAACAAACCACACCCCTTTGATCACACCACTGCCTTTGCTAGAGTACCATTTTTCTAATCATCATCAGAGCAAAACTTCAATACGGTTTTTGTCCCATACTATTCCAGTAAAACTATTCTTGTTGAAGTTATGAATCACCTCCTTAATGCCCAGTCCAATGGTTATTTCTGCATATTTATCTTACTTAGCATGATTTGACAGAGTTGACTGCTCCATCCTCTTCTGGCTTTCATGATTCTCCTCTCTGGTTTTCTTCCTAACTCACTGGACACTCTCAAGCTTCTGAGGCTCCTTTGCTGGATTCTCTTCCTCTACCCCATTTCTAAATGCTGCACTCCCCCTTGACTTGATTTGGGGCTCTCTGCTCTCCCTAGGTAAAGTCATCCAATCCCATGGCTTTAAGTGCCACACACGCACACGCGCGCGCACACACACACACATATATCTAGTCATGTTTTCTCCCCTAAACTCCAACTGACAATTCCATTCAGGAATCTAACAGGAATTTAAAGTTTAACATATTCAAAACACAACTTATATTTTACCTCCCAGATCAGTTTTCTCCCAGCCTTCCACTTCTCCATAAATGGCTCCAGTTGAAGCCAACAACTCAGGAGTCTTATATAAAGCAACTGCCTAATAACTGTCTTTTGCTTCTACCTTATCTACCCTTAGTCTATCACTTCAGTGCCATTTTGAATATAAAAATCAGGACACGTAACTCCAATTGCCTAAATCTGCCAATAGCTTCTCCGACTACATAATCTAAAGCGAGGGTTAATAAACAATGATGATGGGCAAAATTTAGCCCAGGTTCTACACAGCCCATGAGCTAAGAATGGGTTTTAAATTTGTAAGTGTTGTAAAACAACAACAACAACAAAGAATAATAAGTGCTAGACCATATGTGACCCACAAAGCATAAAATATTTACTGTATGGCCCTTTACAGAACAAGTTTGCTGACTCCTTATCTAAGGTAGCCATTGCTAAGTGATGCTACATCATATGACCTTGAAGATACCTTGTTTGTTTTTTGATTATGTCTCTCACTTGAATGGGATCTCCATATAAAAGGGACTCTGTCATATTTATTGCTATATTCCCAGCAACATGTCTCAATAAATGTCTTCCCCCCCCCCCCAAAAGCCCCAGTAGATAGTTGTATGTCATAGCTGCACATCCTTCTAGTTGCTGTATGTGGGATGTGGCCTCAGCATGGCCGGAGAAGCAGTGCGTCGGTGCGCACCCGGATCCGAACCCGGGCCGCCAGTAGCGCAGTGCGCGCACTTAACCGCTAAGCCACAGGGCCGGCCCTCAATAAATGTCTTAAATCAACAAACGATAACCACATTCCTCATAATTACTATTTTACAAATCAAGAACACTGTGACCACAAAGACAGAAACTTCGTTTTTCAGAGTTACAACTTTCACAATTTTAACTGACTTCTAAGTTAAGTCCCTTAACTCAGAGACAATCAAGCTGGGAAGATGCACTCCATTTCTCAAGCAATAAGGAACCCACAGATCTCTAATAAGAGATAAACAAAAAGAGTTTTGGCATTTAAAAATTGACAGGCAAGAAGAGTGAAGAAGAAAGGATCAAAGAAGTGGCGTAAGGAAGGGCATTTAGGCAGCAATGGATGGGGTAAAAATACAATGCTAACAGTTCTCTACTATCAGGAAGTTTGGCCTAAGCAGCTACCCTTCTAAGCTCTCTCAGTTAGCAAGCAGCTGAGCGGGAAGTGGGAATTGATGCTTTTTAAGTTTCCTTGGATCTCTCTGTTCCTGTTTTTAGATATGGAGAAATCAAATCAACATGGGCCAAGATATTCATAGTAATAAACTGTTAACAGTTATAAACTGTAATAAATACTAACATTGTATTGCTGCCATACTGATGTGGAAAGACATTAAGTTACATAGATTCACATATTTTCTAACTAAGAAAGACCTTGATGAGTAGAAAAAAACTGTTATTTATCTCCCAACAGCAAATCTTCCCCTTTCTGAGGTAATTCTAATTTTTATTAGTGACAACAACGTGTCCAGATAAAAACTTACATTTCCCAGCTTCCCACTTCTTGCACCTAGGGGTGGTCAGTTCTAGTCAACTGCAGTCACAGGCTTGAGCTTCTGGGAAAGCTCTTTAAAGGAGACTGACTCATTTGGCATATGCCCCATTTTCCCATTACCCTTTTCCTTATTTCTGCCTGTTATATGGACACAATACTGGAAGTAGATCAGCCATTTGTGATTTTGAGGTGGAAAGTACATTCTAAAAGTAGCTACACAGAAGATAAAAAGGAGACTGGGTTCCTAATAATATCAAGTAGTAACCATACCAGGTCTAAATTACCTATTTACAGATTCCTGTTATACTAGAGAAACAAAATCCCTATTTTGCTTAAGCTATGGTTTCTACATCTCTGTTACAGGTAGCCACTATTTTCCAAATCTCTAGTACTAACAGTTGAACTTAATCCTGGAAACACTGGACAGCTGGGTCACTCTTTTTTCCACAACAGATATACCTATAATATTTACAACACTTGACCATTCAGGACTACCTGAATGCTTTCAATGAAAGGAAGTTCAGTAAATTAAAATCAGGCCATTTAAATGTTAACAGCAAGAACAGGTTTAAGTTCAGCAGAAATCTACCCTTCCTGTGACTTCCAACCATTATTATGGAGCTATAGTCTAGTGAAGAAAGTTTATTTTTTGTAATGCTAGAGCGTGAGATTTTCATCTTTGTATCCCTGATGCTTAATGCATCAGTAAGCTTTGGAGAATGAATGAATGGCTAAAAACACTGTTTCTTCATTGATCCCACACACTTTCTCACATTTTACATTTCTGAAATTGGAATGCATCTTAATCTACAGCACGTAACAGTTTAACTTGGCAGTTTTTTACCTTAGCGACACGTGTAATGGTCCATCTTATCATTGAGGTATCTTGGATTTGATGAATTATGGAAGACTAATTCTTCTACATGTAATATTTTTTCACATATTTGACAACAAACACCTACCCCTAAGAGGTCTCTAAGCAGAACAACCCTAGTGCTCATAGACAAAAAACACGGCAGCTATTCTGAAGAGCAATTTGGCAGTACACTTAGCTAAATTTAGTATACTTATACCCTGTGAGCCAGAAATTCTACTCCTGAGTATATATGTCAAAGAAATGTTCACACAGGTCCAGAAGAGAAATGTCTAAAGAAGGCCCTTCCTGCATGTGTGGGAAGGAGTTGGAGGCCATCTGGGTGCCTATCACTGCTGGAGTGGATGGACAGACTGGTAGATGCACACAGAGAATTATGTAGAAGTTGGAAGCAAAGGACTAGATGTATACATAACATGAATGATTTTAAAAACAGCACTGAGTTGAAAAGAACAACTATGTAAGAAATGAAATCTAAAACAAAACACGCAATTCATGTTTATATAGAGGAAAAAAATAAGAAAAATACCCATTTTCAAGAATAAATGTAGAAAAAAGAGTAAACATGAAAATAGGTGCATAGAGAGAAGGAGAAAGGGAAATGAGCTATGGGAATAAAAAGAATATATATAGAAAATAAAAAGGGACCTCACAAGGAGCAATGATGGTTATGTGCCATAAACTCAGGAATATAACTACTTTAATCTTCTACATTTTCGGCCCAACTAGAAAACCACAATAATAAAAAATTGTACTAAGCACCATGGGATACAAAAATAATAATACAGTGCGGAATATGTGCACCACCTACTATTACTTATTATAAACCAGGCACCTAAGAACTTAAGTGCATTGATTAATTTAATCTTCCCAACAACTCCATGAAGTAAATACTATTATTATTCTTATTCTACAGGAAATCAGGGAATAAAAAAGTTAAAGAATTTGTCCAAGGTAACTATTAGGGCTGGGATTCTAGGCGTGTGTATCTAGAACTGCAGCTCTGATTGTTACACTGGAGAGTCTCTCACGAATAAGCCACAATTACTATAATGTAAAGCTCACACTTGAAAAAGGAGAGCAGCCATTTATAACCGAGCACAATGCAGTTGAAAACAAGAAGTAAATTTGAAAGCAAATGTAAGTTTGGATGTGGTATATAGTTGGCACTTAATAAAATATTTATTGACTGAGTGGGTGGATTAATGAATGGGAGACTACCTCAGGCTTGTTCAATGAGTTGCATTACAGGAGATCTTGAGGGGTAGATATACATGAGCCAGTAGCATTGTGGGAGTCCATTTGAAAAGTAAAAGCAGTATGAGTGAAGGAATTGAGATAGGAAACCACTGGACACACTGATAACCTACCAAGTGACCTAGTCTAGGTTGGTGACTATATAGAGAACAGAAAAGGAAGTGTTAGGAGATCTACTTGGGTAGGGTACTGGCTTTAGACTTCTTGGTTAGAATTCTACCTCGCTTCCTCCCTGGCTTCCTCACTTCCATCTGAACGGCCTTGGTATACTATTAACCACTTGTAGTTCTGTTTCATTAAGAGCAAAATGGGGTTCAGTCACTCATTTAGGAAAGTGTTGAGCACTTATGTGCCAGGGACTAGTCTAAGTGCTGCAGATACAACAGTGAATACAAAGAAGTCCCTGTCCTCAGGAACCTCATAATCTATCAGGAGAGACAAATACCAAAAACACAAAAAAGGCAGGTAGTCCTATGAACATACACATGGGGCATAGAAAATAAAAGTGGTGAAAAAAATGAGAATATTATTTTAGTTGATAACAGCAACAATAACTAATACTTTTTGTGTGCTTACTAAATATCAGGCACTCATGTAACTTATTCTATTGATTCATTTAATATGATGGGTGAGAGAAGATCCCACAAAAAGCACCTTTACCTCAAAGAGTTGTGAGGCTTAGATGAGATAACACATGGAAAGCTCACAGAACAGTGTCTGGCACAGAATAAGCACTCAATAAATGCTGGCTATTAACAATTTTAAAAAAAGTACCTAAACTATTTCTTTACTTTGTCAAGACCTTGGAGTTTAGGACATTTCATTTTCCTAGAGAGGCATGGTCAAGAAATTTTTCTAGCAGCAAGATACTGAAGTATGTTAATATACGTAGGCAACAGCTAAAATAGGAGACTGACTTAACAAGAGAGAAACTATAACTAAAACAACAAAATGGGCAGGGGAGATAGGAAGAGGTGGGATCAAGAGCAAAGTGGAGGGTTTACTATTGGAAAGAAAAGATTTTCCCAGAGACAGAAGTAGTAAGAAACCACTGTAAATTTCTTATAGCTACTGACAACTTTACCAGGTCTTACATAACATACTCTGTAACTGTAAATAACCACACAAGGCAGAAAAACAAGGACTAGAACATCCCATCTTATTTGGCAAACACTACTTGTCAAAGACTATGGTAACTGAATTTATACTTGGTATCGATGACATAGTAACTATCAAATAGAAAGACACCAAAGAAACCAAATATCTAGAGAAGGCTAGAGAACCATACAGACACAATAATATTATTATGATCTTGATTCTCTCTATCAAACTAGTCTCGTCAGGATTAGTTCTAAATGAAGGAAAAAACAACTTAGCTAGAAAAAACACCTAAGAAAATATACCTCACACATGCTCGATTTAAAAAATTTAGCCTAGAGAATCAGTTCATTCCTGCCCACCTTTAAATCATCCCTTCATTCAGGACTCTTTATTTGGTACACAGAAATATTATTTACTCCCCCTGTCCTTTCAAAATCAGCTTTTTTAAACTATGCAAAAAAATATAATTATTTTCTTGAAATGATAAATGTTTCATTTCAGGTTCAGATTATATACATGTATATTTAATTCTTATTTATCTGCAGTTTGAAGACAATAAAGCATATAGATAAAACTTGCACCTGATCTTACCTTTGTAAGATAATCCACTTTCAAATTGTCAATCATCATATTTTTCTGGGATAGCTCTATTTTCAGTAACTGAATATTATGAAGCAGTTCTTTCCGTTCAATCAGCTGCCTGGTGATTTTGATTTTACCTTCTCGCTCTTCTGATGAGGAAATATCATCTGTAGGAACTGTTGTCTCTAAGCTAATATCTTCAGATTCCAGAGAGCTAGAGACATTGACTTTTGTTGATGCCTTGGCAATTTTTCGAGACATTTTTTATTATTATGGGTCAGTTTTCTTCTCCAACTCTATTTCAATTTTCTGTAGGTTAAAAAATACTAATTTCAATGTACTCACTCTCTACGGAAAGCACAATGTATATCAAAGAGATATTGAGGATTCCCTAAGTAATTATTAAGCAATTTAGAAGACTCCAAATCTAGGACAGATTAGTAAATTACTGCTTAAATCAAATATATTAAATCAAACTCATTAAATCCCACTAGGGATTCAGCCTTTTGATGAATTAAAAACCCAGGTCCTGGAGGCAGGAATCTTACTTGGAGAAAACAAAGAAATGTACGAGATAAAGGAAAAAGCCCTGAATCACTAATACCCAGGAATGCTACTAATAAAAGCAGCACATGTTCGAGATTAGAGAATCACTTCTGAGTTGGTCAAGGGAAGGGTCTACAGAGGTAGGACTTAGAATCTTGAAGGATTTGGAAAGGAGGAGTAAAAAGGGAAAAGTATGCAGGTCTTAAAGTTGGTATAGAGACGGTGAAGATGTAAAACAGCGGAAGCTAATGGTAGTTGGGATGGGGCCAAGTCTTTATGAATTTGAGTAGTGACTCCTCCCATCCCCCAAGCACAAACACACATACAATCTTAACAATCAAGACTGTGGAGGGCCTTGAATGGCAAAAGGTGTTCGAAATTTATTCTGCAGGCAATGAGGCATCACTAAACATTTTTTTAAAACGGGAAACAGGGAGATAAAACATTTTTTTATAGACTTGCAGATAGTAGAATGAAAACAAGAGGGTAGATGAGAAAAACTCAAGTATTCTAAGTCGAACTTCTAACCTTTTTACAAGAATTTTAGCAACTCCTTTATTTTAATACTACACGATATAATAAATTATTTACTGTACTGCAGATGTCAATATTTCTAAACTGAATGATTAGAAAAACGGTGTGTGGAGGGGAAACGGAAGGGACTTTAGTTGGATCGGCCACCCTCCTTTTTATACGGAAAGGGGTAAGGAAAGGTGAAACCAAAGACAGGCAACATCACCTGGATTACAAAGGATCAGGGACTAGGACTGCCCACACATGCGGCGTGAAGAATAAAACCCAAATTTGGCAGCATCGGAGAATTCCACGCCCCACGCGCGAAAGGAAAGAATAGCCGCGAACTACCTGGAAAGCTTCAAATTACTCCACGTCGTAGGCTGGACCAGCAACCACTGCCGCCACTTCGAGGAGCGAAGACGTCTCTAGACAGCAGCTCAGGTTGTAGCCCCTCAACAAGGAATCTCAGGCCCGAGACCGTTAGAACCCGTAACCAAGACAACCATTTCCGCGCCCAGACGAAGACTGTGGAAGCAGCAGCGTGCAGACGCCCACGCCGCAGGAACTCACCCCAGATCCACTCAGGCGCGGGAAGCAACGCATGCTGGGAGTTGGAGTCCAGAAGCGGGCCCCGCCCAGTTCACGGACGGAAATAGCTTCGGGCTCCGCCCATCCGCCCGAACTCCTCGCTTTCGCCCAATCCTCGCAGCCCTTAGAGAGCCAACCATCGTCAGTCTCGACGTTTTCCCGCGAAAGGTGCTTACTAATAGCCTGTAAAAGGAACGGGCGAACCTCGGGGTAAGCTATAGTTGTGCGACACGGTTCCTAGCTTGACGCTTTTTGCCGGAAGAGCGCTGGTGCGGTTCTGGGATTCAGCGCGTGAGACAAGATGCTCAAGTCCAAGACTTTCTTAAAAAAGACGCGGGCGGGCGGCGTGATGAAGATCGTGCGCGAGCACTACCTGCGGGACGACATCGGCTGCGGTGCGCCAGGGTGCGCGGCGTGCGGCGGTGCGCATGAGGGGCCGGTCCTCGAGCCCCAGCCCTTGGACCCGGCGAGCAGCCTCTGCCCGCAGCCGCACTACTTACTGCCTGACACCAACGTTCTGCTGCACCAGGTGCGTCGGTGGGCGGGCGAACTGCGAGCAACGCGGCCCACCCAGGAGAGGGGGGAGTCACAGAGAGGGAAACTGAGGCTCAGGGAAGGGCGACTTGGGCAATATCACGTACTTAGGGAGACGCAAACCCTATCGGGACACTTGCCTTCCATTCCCCAGGCCAGGGTTCTTTTCCTTGTACTGTTCTTTCAGTTTTTGGAGTCATAAAAATTTTAAGATACATTAATTTCCTAACTCCTGGTGTCTCTTCTGCCTTAGATTATAAGTGTCTGGAGGCCGGGGACCTGGGCTTCTGTGGCCTCCAGCTTGCGACCCCCAGGCAGCTTGTAAGTGCCTACGAAAGAGAACTATGTGGGCCAACGTCTTTCTTTATTAATAGACTTAAATCTACGAAGTTTTGTGGTTAGTCTGTTTACATGTGCTTTTCTGTAATTGACCAGAAGGGTTTTCTATAGCAAAATAGCTCTTTACCTTAATGTATATTGTTTTTCAAACCGACGCTGTTTTCTGTTCGACAGAAACAATTTACAGATGAACATAGGAAAAATTAATTTTCTTTCTTTCTTTCTTTTTTTTAAAGATTGATGTTCTCGAGGATCCTGCCATCAGGAATGTAATTGTGTTGCAAACAGTTCTCCAAGAAGTGAGAAATCGGAGTGCTCCGGTATATAAACGAATCCGAGATGTGACTAATAACCAGGAGAAGCATTTCTATACCTTCACTAATGAGCACCATAGGTAGGGGGGAAATTATTTAATTATCAGAAAACCATAGAATTAGCTAAATTTGGGGGAGGGTTCCTGGCAGTAATTTGTGATGTTGTCAGAAGATATGCAATAGGTTTCATACTTATGGGAGGAGGATCTGGTTTTTACAGAGCTGTACAGAAGATAATGCTAAATAGACCTCACTAAGGTCGCGTGGGCATTGACTGGATCTAATCTAGAACGGAGGTCTCCTGAATCCCAGGCTACAGTAGGTCCTTTTATTTCCAAAATGTTTTCATTTTGAGTTGGTTTTAGCATGAGTTGAGCAATAGAATCTTGGAAGATGAGATTTGCCTAGGTTCCTGGAATACCATATTATATGAACAATCAACATAGGTTAATAAAATGTAAGTTTGTGAATGGGGCCAGCCTCATGGTCTAGTGGTTAAGTTTGGCGGGCTTGGCTTTGGCAGCCTGTGTTCAGTTCCTAGGCACAGACCTACACCACTTACCGGTGACCATGCTGTGGTGGTGACCCACATACAAAATAGAGGAAGATTGCCACAGATCTTAGCTCAGGGCGAATCTTTCTCAAGCAAAAAAAAAAGGGAGGAAGATTGGCAACAGATGTTAGCTCAGGGCCAGTCTTCTTCAGCAGGAAAAAAAAAAAGGTAAGTTTGTGAAGGGAAAGTTTAAAAATATAAAGCAGATTTATTTTTAATGGGCTTTTAAAAGTTAAACTAATACCTTATAACTGATCACACTGAAGAAGGTAAGGTTAAGAAATAGAATTCTTTTTATGCTTCAGATTCAGGACCTTTGAACATAATAAGTGGTTTTAGGAAATACATTGCTATGGTTCGTAAATATTCTATGCTGAGTCCTAGTATACTTTTATTAGATGAGATCAGGGCTTGGGTCGGCCCTGTGGCTTAGCGGTTAAGTGCGTGCGCTCCAGTTAAGTGTGTGCGCTCCACTGCTGGTGGCCTGGGTTCAGATCCCGGGCGTGCACCGATGCACTGCTTCTCCGGCCATGCTGAGGCCGAGTCCCATGTACAGCAACTAGAAGGATGTGCAACTATGACATACAACTATCTACTGGGACTTGGGGGAAAAAAAGGAGGAGGATTGGCAATAGATGTTAGCTCAGAGCCGGTCTTCCTCAGCAAAAAAAAAAAGAGGAGGATTAGCATGGATGTTAGCTCAGGGCTGATCTTCCTCACACACACAAAAAAAGATCAGGGCTTCTCAACCTTGGCGCTATTGACGTTTTGGCCTGGATATTCTTTATTGTGAGCAGGCTGTCTTATACATTGTAGGATATTTGGCAGCATCCCTGGCTTCTACCCATTAGACGCCAGTAGCAATCCTTCCTGCTCTACCCCCCATCCATAGAGCTGTAACAACTCAAAATGTTTCCAGACATTGTCAAATTTTCCCTGGGGGGAAAAATTACCCTTTGGTTGAGAATCACTGGATTAGATGGTAGATCTGGTAATGAAATTCCGTTGGAGTATGCAAATTTAAAAGAAGATGTAGTTTCTTAATTTTCTCTCATTTGTTCCTATATACCAAAGTTAGATATTGTTCTTGTAAAGAACATCAGTAAAGCACTTGTAGACTTCTTATTCCTAGCTCCTCTTTGAAATCTAGAAACAGAAACTTCCACTTGTATTTCAGTGCAGAAAGACCAAGTTTTTTGTGGAGCATGATCATCATATTCTTAATCAGAGGTTAGCAGTTTTGTTAGCTTAAGTGCAGTGAACCAGTTCAAAAATTTATGACTGTCTTGGATAAGCGTAAAGCATTAGCAGGTGCATTTAATGGTGAGGAATAAAATAATTCTAAAAACTGTTAATATAAATAAGTCTAAGGTTCTAAAATTTAATTTATTATTTTTAAGCACTAGAAGTTACTGTGCTTCTGAATTTTCTTATTGTACTTAAATTTGGCTTTGAAGGGCCGGCTCTGTGGCTTGGCGGTTAAGTGCGCGCGCTCTGATGCTGGCGGCCCGGGTTCGGATCCCGGGAGCGCCCGGAGGCACCACTTCTCCGTCCAACGCGAGGCCGAGTCCCGCGTACAGCAACTAGAAGGATGTGAACCTATGACATACAACTGTCTACTGGGGCTTTGGGGGGAAAAAGCTGAATAAATAAAATCTTTAAAAAAAAAAAAAAATTTGGCTTTGAAGAACAAGTTTAAAGAAATAAGTGTACTGACATATTTGGGAGTTCAGAGTGGATAGACTTAGAAGGAATATAGAATCATATCTGTATCTGGCCTTTAAGTCTCTAGATAGTCTGCCGTTTACTGAGTATTTATCATTGATAATTTATGTGCATTATGTATTTAATGACTACAGAATCATATGATCATAAATCATCCCATTTGTAGCTTTTAGGAATTACTGTTAATCTACAGTTGGAATGAAATCTCATTATCAGACCTGAGAAGTTTTATTATAATTTTTTTCAACAAACTATTACTTATTTAATGTCCCACCCTAAAATATAAATTCTAAACTTGAAATCTAAAAAACAAAACAAAGAAACAAACAAAACAGAAACAGATTCATAGATACAGGAAACTAGTGGTTACCAGAGCAGGGAGGGCTTGGGGGGAGTTGGAGAAATCGGTGAAGGGGGTGAAGAGGCACAAACTTCCAGTTATAAGTCATGGGGGTGTTGTGTACAGTATAGAGAGTATAGTCCATAATATTGTAATAACTTTGTGTGGTGACAGATGGTAACTAGACTTACTATATGATCATTTTGTTATGCATATAATATCGAATCACTGTGCTGTACACCTGAAACTAATAGGATATTGTGTGTCAATTATACTTCAATAGTAAATGAATAAATAAATTCTGATCTTGACTTTTTCTGTTTGTGAAATAAAATTGTTTTAGCGTTTTTATTGTTCCATTAATAGTATAATTTTCTTTTCCAAGCAAATTGTTGTCTTAAAAACTTAATTATAAGAATCCTATTTATTTCCTCTCTGAGGTGTAAATCTGAATACATTCAAGAGAAGAAGATACACTATTGACTTTTAATGTTAGTGTTTATTAAACATTTATGTCCTAAGACTTTTTACATGTCCTTTTTTCTATTGATTTCCACTTATTTCACTTTTGTCCTTTCCTTTACGTTTAGGGAAACTTATGTCGAGCAAGAACAGGGAGAAAATGCTAATGACAGGAATGATAGAGCCATTCGAGTAGCAGCAAAATGGTACAATGAACATTTGAAGAAAATGTCAGCAGAGAATCAGCTGCAAGTTATCTTCATAACAAATGACAGGAAGAACAAAGAGAAAGCCATAGAAGAAGGAATACCAGCTTTCACTTGTAAGTCTAAATGTAGAAGCTGTGAATTTTTATATGCATTTGCAAATATGAACTATCATCAGGCCCTTGGTCGGAGGTTACTTGACTATTTAATATTTTCATATTCTTGTATACCTTCGTGTGTTAGTTTTGCATTTTGTAATTTTAAGTTCATTTCCCCATCACCATTTGGAATTGTCTTAGCAATAAAAGCTCATAGATATGCTTGACCCACTGCCTTTGTTTAGTCATGACCACATCAACAGATATAGGTTCCGCCCCACCAAAAAAAATTGATAGATACATTGTCACAAAAAGATTATCCATGTTCTTTCACATGTAAGAAAAAAAAACACTTGAATTTATCAAGAGCAACAAAATTTATTTTTCAGGTGAAGAATACGTCAAGAGCCTAACTGCGAACCCCGAACTCATAGATCGTCTTGCTTGTTTGTCTGAAGAAGGGGTATGTTTGAGTTTGTTTTATTTTGTTCTTAAAAAGTGAAAATATTAAAATAGCCACTTTGGGATATTAGGCTTATAGTTATCAAATTTAAAAATTGGAATATTGGTGAGTAAGCAGGAATTGAAATAGGAGTTGGGTTAGAAACAATAAGAGTGACTATAATAGGCTTATTGAAATGCCGTGCATAAAGCACTTGACTTTCTAAAATAGCACTCTTTCCTGATACATGCCCAGTAAGCTGAGGAGGGCCTGGCACGTGGTGGCACTACTTGCTTGATGAATAAATAAAGGAATCCATGGCTGGCTTGTGAATAAGGAATAGGTATTTGACAAAGAAGTAGCAGGCACTGCGGACACAGAACATAGAGCTGTAGCATTAACCCCAAAGGAGGAGGGCAGGGAGTCATAAGAGGTAGAACCGGAAGGGTAGGGTCCAGATAATGAGGACCTAGAATTTATTCGGTAGATCAGTAATTTTCAAACTGTCTTACAAAGATCTCACTAAAGGGCTGCTATGAAGAGAAGGTAGCAGATAGAATTCTGGGCTCCCTACCTTATAAAAAAGGCAGGCAAAAAGAAATTAAGGGTGTATGAGAATATGCCTCGGAGGAATTGGGGAGAATGATGAGAAATGTTATTTATTTGAAAGAACACTGATTTGTAAGATGATACATTGTATCAAGGGCAAGATTAGGGGCGGAGGGATGAGTAAAGGGATTACTGCAATAGTGGGCTTGAGAGGGTCTGCTAAGGGGATAATTACACTACTGTGAGCCCTCATTTCCTTATATGTAAAGTGTGTTTAGCAGTAATGACTTCATAGCATTGTTATGATGATTGAATGAGATAATACAACAGTAGTATTAGTAAAATTCTTTCTCAGTGCCTGGCACATAGCTATGGTAAATGTAAATGATAGGTATTGTTATTATAGAAATAGGCTTTTTGTAATAGATCAGTAGACATACATCCAGTCTTTATAGCATTTTCCCCATCCCTGCTTGTCTTCAACAAGCTACTTTACAAAACAAAAAGGAAGTGTGAATAGATGAAAAAATGGGAAGAGAGAAATGACAGTACTGTAACACTTTCAATTCTGTGATGGGAAGGGGAGAAATGAGGTGGTAGTTGGAGAGCAAGTAGGAGCAAGAGGAATTTTTTTTTTTTTAAAGATGGGAGGAAATAAGGGAGTAAATGTAGATAAAGAAAAGAAAAGAGCCTGTAACTGAGCCTTGGGATACTTCAACATTTAATATCAAGATAAAGTGAATTGGCAGAGGAAAATAAGAAGGAGCTACCGGTGAAGTAGGACGGAAATCAAAGCGTTGATGATTTGGAAGCTAAAGTGTCTCAGGGAAGGAAAGATCATTTTTAAAAATTTTGCTAAGACTAAGAATGGACCACTGAATTTGCTAAGATAATACATTGTTAGTTACCTTGACAGTAATGGTTTCAATTGACTGAGGATGAAACATGAGAGAGTATGGGTGAAGAAGTAATGCACAGCAATTACAGACAATGCTTTTGTGGCATTTTGATGTTAAGTGGCACAGAGGATCAGGCCAGTGTCTGGAAGGGGATGCAAAATTAAGTAATTTTTAATAAGTCAGATTATTATAAGTTTATACAATGGTGAGAATGTTACAGTAGAGAGGGGAGAAATTTGATTCCAGAGAGGGATGATAATTACAGGACAGAGTTCTTGAATAGAGGAGAGGAGACGGTATGTAGTGCCCAATTGAAAGACTAGAAGCATTCTTTTCATTGTTGCAGGAGAGAAAGCTGAGGTTTTGGTATAGATGCAGGTAGGTGGGCAGATTTAGTGGTGGGAAGATGAAGTAGGTCTTCGATTGCTGCGATTCTCAGTATGGAGGTTGAGGTCATTCATCTGAGAGTGAGGAAGGAAGACAGGGAAGTTGAAGAGGTAAACAAAAAAGAAAAAGATATGAAGGAATCTCCTTGGAAAGTGGAAAATTGCTTGTAGGAAATGAGGAAGGAAATTAAAGGAGCCAAGTAGTCAGGACTTTGGATGTTGAGGTGTCTAAGAATCGTGATAGATGTTGTGATTGATCTAAAGCAGTTTACATCTTACCTCTGTCTTATATCCTTAGCTATTAAAAGAGGCAGAATAAAAATCGCTTTTCTTGTGCTTTCGGTAGCCACATTCCTATTTTGTGGAATTGAGGCTTCAAGTTAGCTTTTACATACCTACCTGCTCATTTGATCACTTAACCATGTGCTTTCATTTTGTGAGGCCTGAGGAGGGGAGAAGGGGCTACGCAGAGTTTCTTAGTGGCATGCATCTGTGGCTAAACACCAAAACGTAATGAAATTGAAATATTTGTATAAGTTTCCCTAGGAATAGAAAACATTTTTTTCTCATTGTGCTATCTTCTCTCAAATTCCTAGAGTTGTATATACCGTAACGTGGATGGTTTTTAAAAGAAATCAACTCATAGTGATAATAGCTGTATATTGAGCATACAGCAGACTTGCATACTAACTACATCTTTTGGTTTGCTTATTTCACAGAATGAAATAGAAAGTGGAAAAATAATATTTTCAGAGCATCTTCCCTTAAGTAAGCTACAACAAGGCATAAAATCTGGTACATACCTTCAAGGAACATTTAGAGCCAGCAGGGAAAATTACTTAGAAGCTACAGTATGGGTTCATGGAGACACTGAAGAAAATAAAGAGGCAAGTGTGTAAATAAATTGCTTATACTCTAAAATACTTTTTGTTCATTATTTTTTTCTCATAAGTGTTTAAAATTTTATCTGAGAATTTAAATTTGCTTTATCCTCCCAATTCATCAGTTTCAAGGCAGTTATGTGCGAAGTCGTAGATACTAGTAGAATTAATCACTTTTTTAGAAAACTGCTTATTGAAGAACTTTTTATTAACTTACTTTTAAGAGATTAAAAATATAGTCACCCAGATAATAAATAGGATGATTCTATTTTATATATTATAACCAGTTATGGGATGTACTGTTTAACATGTAATTGCTCCAGAGGGCTTCCCACACTTTAAAGTGAAAAGCAGTCATTTTTGGGGTGCTCACTATTTGCCAGGTGCTCTTCTAACTGCTTTGCATGCTACATTTCATTTAGTCTTCAACCCAGCCTGTAAAAGTAGGTACTCTTCATTTTACCAGTCAGGACCCTAAGATTTAGAGAGGTCAAGAAAATTTAAGGTCTCTTGGTACTAATATAATATTTACGGTGAAGTCAGGAGCACAACCCATATTTTCTGACCATGTTTTTTTTACTTGATATTGAGAAGTTAAGAGGGCAGAGTAAAGGGAGGAAGGAAAAATATAAAGGAAGAGAGAGAGATAGAGAGACATTCAAAATGTATTTAAACTTTTGGTTGGTAACCTTCCCATTATTTTATTGCCATTAAGAATTTCTGGGCACATGCTCTTTTACACAGATAATCTTACAAGGACTTAAAAATTTAAACCGAGCTATTCATGAAGATATTGTGGCTGTGGAGCTTCTCCCCAAGAATCAGTGGGTAGCACCATCTTCTGTGGTTTTACATGATGAAGGCCAAAATGAAGATGATGTGGAGAAAGAAGAGGAGAGAGCACGCATTGTATGAAACCAAACAGGTTTTAATTTTTGTCTGTGTAGCTTTGTATAATTAATTAATCTGTCAGCTTTGGAGAAAGTTAAACAGATTGCATTGTTCAGATTTATTGAACAAAGTTATAGTTCTGTAGTTTTAATACATGTCATACTCGTAGTTGATTTTTTTCCCTCTAAATATTTGAGTAGTCTTCTTTTAAGTTAATGTCTTATTTTGCTCAAATAAGTGAGTTTAAATACAAAAACACTGTTAACTTGAGTATGAAACTGGAACTCTATGACAGTTCAGGGACATGATCTGTCTGAATTAGTGAGATTTAAGTAAACACAAATTTAAAGTTTTCTGAAATGTTAAAATTCCCTCAGCATAATGGATGTACTTCTGGGCCCTTATATTTGGGTACATTTAATAATTCCTTCTCTATTACCATATTTATTATGAAGAGAATGCTTTCAGTTTTTTCTTTTTTTTTTTTTTTTTTTTTAATTTTATTTAGTTATTTATTTTCCCCCCCAAAGCCCCAGTAGATAGTTGTACGTCATAGTTGCACATCCCTCTAGTTGCTGTATGTGGGACGCGGCCTCAGCATGGCCGGAGAAGCGGTGCTTCGGTGTGCGCCCGGGATCCGAACCCGGGCCGCCAGCAGCGGAGCGCGCGCACTTAACCGCTAAGCCACGGGGCCGGCCCATCAGTTTTTTCTTATAAGAGAAATTCTACTCGATATGACCTGTTTATTTCCCTGTTGTAGAATTACAGGAATAATATGAATAGTTGGAATTCATACAACATTTGTAGTTCTTGTTTTTCCATGAATTATATTCAGTACTCTGGAGTCTTATTATAACATTGTCCTTGCAGAGTCTAGGCCATAGGAGAATGTTAGAGGTGAAATAGCATAAGGTCCTGCTATTTCTGATAAGAAATTCTCTTCATTTGGGTTTTTGTTTTGGATAAGGAAGAAACTTTAAAGATAACATCTCTTTTTTAATGAATTAATAAACACACAGCTAATTAGTGCAAACTAGTACTAAAATCCTAGTCTATTAATTCCAAGACCTGTGTGTGTTTTAGTGAGTAGATCTTTATATTAAAATGAAGAGTTGAGTTCTGACATGTTTACTTGGTTATTTTTTTTTTTCTTTGTTTTTTGGTCATCTGTGTTTGTAGTGCTTTATTATTATGAAACTGTTTCCGTAGTTTGGTTTGGCATGCTCTTGCCTAGAATTTTGAAGCATCAAGATTCTGTAGTTTTGTGTCATAATTTACTGCCTGAAAGTTTTAGTATCCATATTCATATTCCAATTTTGAAGGATAATTGTCTCATTATACTTACAGAAAAAATAACTGAAGATTTTTATTTTTAAATCTCAGCTTAAGACTGCTGTAAATGAAAAAATGTTAAAGCCTACAGGTAGAGTTGTTGGAATAATAAAAAGGAATTGGAGGCCATATTGTGGCATGCTTTCTAAATCTGATATTAAGGAGGTGAGTAAAGAGCACATTGCTATGTAATAAAAAATGATATACATTTAGTAGAACTTATAGCCCTCTCCTTACCCTCATCACCAGATTTTTGTCTGTGTAAAATCTTTTTTCCTAATTTTCTCTAGTCAAGAAGACATCTCTTTACACCTGCTGATAAGAGAATCCCTAGAATTCGGATTGAAACCAGACAGGCTTCTACATTAGAAGGACGGAGAATTATTGTTGCTGTTGATGGTTGGCCCAGAAATTCCAGATATCCAAACGTAAGCTTGAATTATTAATTAAAAATTTGGGAATAAAATTGCTGCTTCTAGTGAAAGTAGAATCTGCTTTTGTATAAAATTCATACTGAGATTTAGGAATATTTCAAAAAGTTACCTGATAAGATTAATTTTCAAATTGAATGCACTACTTATGACATTCCAATGTAAATTGTTTACTTTTACTCATATTTCCAAACAAATAACTTTGATAGCGACTACAAAAATGGTGTTTGAGACTTAACGTAGATTCCGATAAACGAATTTTGAAGCTACTTTATTTGAAGCACATTTTAAACCTGAAAGGTAATAGGAAGTAACCAGATGCTTTGTTATATAAGAACTGGGCCTTCAGGAAGTCTCCGTCATAAGTCACTTGAGAAGTCTTGTCATTTTCAGCTCTCATTTACCAAGGGGTCATTTTTAAGAAGAAGTGGTGAGAACATTTAGAAATGCTAAGGTGATATATACATGTTCAAGGATTTAATGTGATGATAAAATATAAATGACCAAACAAAACGCTGTGAAATACACTTTTCTAATAATACCTTTTGGTTTTAGGGACACTTTGTAAAAAATTTAGGGGAAGTTGGAGATAAAGAGACGGAAACAGAAGTTTTGTTACTTGAGCATGATGTTCCCCATCAGCCTTTTTCACAGGCTGTTCTTAGCTTTCTACCAAAGATGCCGTGGAGCATTACTGAACAGGTAAGTTGAAAAGAATCTTAGTGACTTTATAAATTACTATAGCTGAGCCAGTTTTGTTTGATTTCTGTATGTATTTTAAATATGTAGAAACCACAGTCCCCTCCTCCTCTGCCTTTAGTTAGATACAGCACTTTTAGGTGTTACAAAAATCATTTGCTTTACTAAAAGGTGACTTTTTCTAGGGTACTGACAGTAGTTTATGTCAAATTTTTCAAAGATGAGGAAACCACAAGTTACAAATCATAATGTGTGGTTATCATTAACAAATAAAGCTAAGTTTTTTTTTTAATATAGATATTGTTGATTTCCTAAGAGCTGTCTTGCATTTTTGCTACCCAAATAGTTTTTTATTTTTTTATAATGTCACATCTTCTAGGACATGAAAAATCGAGAAGACCTGAGACATCTGTGTGTTTGTAGTGTGGACCCACCAGGATGTACTGATATAGATGATGCTCTACATTGTAGAGAACTTGAAAATGGAAATTTGGAGGTATTTGTATTGTAATGACATTCTTTTCTAAATATAGATCTCTTCATTTTCTTTTGACTCATTATAGAATTTGTGAATTATTCATGCCAATTATAGTTAGTTATAGCTGCAGAAACTAATAGGCATGTGTCAAAAATTGAAATGGTAAATGTAACTGAGCCTTTTTTCAGTTTAGCTAAATTTTGTCTCATTAGAACTTCATTAGTACATTTACCCAATTAAGCATGTTGACATCCTTTTATTTTTTTCTTTTTAAGGTTGGTGTTCATATTGCTGATGTTAGCCATTTCATTAGGCCAGGAAATGCTTTAGACCAAGAATCAGCCAGAAGGGGAACAACTGTGTATCTTTGTGAGAAGGTAAATGTGTTAAATGTAAAATAGAATTTTGATACATGCTTATAACTTTTTCATTATCAGCCTTATTCTTAATAATAAAATCATCTGAGGTATTTCCTGAGGAAAGGACAGCCTCAGTATTTAATAAAATGAGATGAATGAGTATTATATTAATTATGCGTAGTTAGTTTGTAAAAATCATGGGCACTTGAGGATTCTTGAACAGTTTGGAATAGCACATGAATTAGCTAAAAGACATACATAGAATAAGGTGGGCTTAAATCAGTGAAGATATTGTGATGTTTGTTGTTATTGTGTGCCCCAAATAATGTGTAGATATAGTTGGTATAAATTGTTGTATAGCATTTAACTTATGATCTATGGGTAACTAATGTATTTTCTCTTTTTGATTGTCAAGACATGAGTCTGTTCTATCACAATTTACCATTTATTCTTCCTCTTCAAATATGCTCCCATAAACTTACAGAGAAAAATTGTGAAAATAGAAGGAAAAGTTAGTCTGTTATGAATTCGTTGTCAAAGTTCTTCCATGTAGCTTTTTTCCATAAAAATTTAGTGTCTCTCTTTTTTAGTACATTTAAAACACCATGTAGTTTGTGTTAATCATTGGAGAAAAGTCCAATCCTAGGGCTACTATGGCTTGTGTCTGTTATCTAGTACAGACTTACGCAGACCAGAGATTTCAGACTTCCAGAGGACAGCCAGGTGGTTAGTGCAGAGGACTTAAACTTAGGTCCACTGACACGCAGTCCAGTTTTCTTTCGTTGCTTACCTTTTTTAACAATTGTCTGTAAGTACTTTTCTAGCAATAGACTTTTTATTTCACATTTTTTCAATTCTGTTCGCAAAGGCCTTTTTTTATCTTGTTAAATTAATGCTGTTTGAGAATAGAACCTCAAATAAATGTGCTAAGTAATCTGTGACTCTTATTTTTATTTGTTCCAGAGGATTGACATGGTTCCGGAGTTGCTTAGCTCTAACTTATGTTCCTTAAGATGTAACGTTGACAGGTATTTATGCATGTTTTTTCATAAGAACATAGTATTTACTACTTTAACTGATTCCCATTAATGAATACTGTCTATTTTCCCCCATAGGTTGGCATTTTCATGTATTTGGGAAATGAATCGTAAAGCTGAAATCTTAAAAACGAGGTTTACCAAAAGTGCCATTAATTCAAAGGTTAGTTTCATGGTTAATGTTTAATGTTTAAAATGTTTGGTACTTTTAACAGTATTCTAGATTGTTTTGAAAAAGTTAGGCTTTTTTTAAAGAAATTTTTCCCCAGTTTTGCAGCAAAATCTAGTTTTTTTCAGTTATCTCCTTACTTCTTGATGTTATTTAGAAGTGAGTTTATGTGGCAGTTGTCCCATGTTTGGAAACTTAGAAAGCCTGTATACTTGAGAAGACCAAATAGATGACTTTTTGCCCTAACTCAGAAACCCCAGTATTTGAAGTTGTCCCAACTTATAACTGGTTAGTATTTTAAAAGTTGGTGTGTACACCACTTTCTTGTTTCTCATGTTTTCTCATAGAAATGATATTATAAATCATAGTTGGATTCCAGTAGACCTAGCCTGAGGTCCGTGTTCAGACAGAATGGAGCCACATTGTCTTTCTCTTCATCCTTTTCCTTTTTTTGTACTTCTCCCCAGATTCCTTTGTATTCTCATTTTGCCCTGAATCTTCCTCTGAGTTTGCCAGACCCCTTGTCTTCCAATGATCCATTTTCCAAATTTACCCACTTCTTCTCTCCCTTTACCATCTTTCTTTCTGTTCTGATCAACTAGTGTTTGGAAAGAAAGTCAGTGTTAGACTGACAGATAGTGATGTGTGAATCATTTAAGCCTTCCTGGATTTGTGTTTTTAGATAGCATGAGTTTATAATTCTCCTAGAATTGGTCAGTGTAACAAAATGATATGAAAAAAAAAAATTAGTGAACATATTAAGAGAAAACGTTTTTAGAAGGGGAGCTCTTAGCCCCTAGTAGATAATTCGGCTCTTCTAGGAATTTGACCTGGACTGCATCATCTAACTCTTATGCTATTCCTGACTTTTACTTGTGAAGCTATTTTTTTTAAATAAGCTAAAATATGGTAGTTTTCCATAAGGAGTACAAGAAGAACAGAAGCACTATTTGTATATATAGACTGTAATTGGAAATTACTTTAAATCTTTTCTGCTACTACGATTTGTCCTATTTTTAGATACTTAATTTGGGGCATTTATTAGATTTCTTGTAAAACATGATGTCTAGATTATTACAGTTTTCTTAATTATTTGCCAGTGAGTAAAGAAGTAATGATCATCTGGAAAGGATTTCACTTTACAGTCATTATCAGAGAATAAGCCAACCTTCCTTTTTATTTTATTTTAGCATGACCTAAGTATTTATACATTAATTGAGCTATGAAAGTAAAGTTTAAACAATTTATTTACTAACAATACTACCATTTTATTTTGTTTTAACGTAAGTTTGCTTATGTTGTATAATGCATCAGTTAATGAACCAGAAATCATAGGTATGGAGTATAAGTGTTATGACTAGGAGGCTCTCTCTTGTTATTGATCTTAGGTTTTTCAAAATTATGGAATTTATGTCATGGAACTATGAGAACATAGTAAACCAGTTTTTATAAGAATTATATTAACATATGGTTTCTTATATGGTTTCTTTTTTAGGCTTCCCTTACATATGCTGAAGCTCAGATGAGAATTGATTCAGCAGCCATGAATGATGATATTACCACCAGTCTCCGTAGACTAAATAAACTAGCTAAAATCTTGAAAAAAAGAAGAATCGAAAAAGGGTACATTTCAAAAATATCTATTAAGATGTGTTGTAATTCATTTATCCTGGTATTAAGATAATTTATGAACTCTTATGGTGGACAATGATAAATTATTTAATAGGCTGACTAGAGACTCTTAAGTAGAGACATCCTATTCTTCTTGCTACCTTTTAAATACTAGCAACTGGATTCTGGACTGGTGTTTCTTCAGGAGTTCTATCCTTGTAATTTGTTGTGCTAGAAACTGGTATGTTTGAATTAAACATCTTGAAGAAATTCTAGGAAGGCAAGAGCTCCTTAAGACTTTCCTATGGCTTGTTTCTAATTTTAATTAGAAATGAGTCTCCAGATTGCACTTTGGTTTTCAGATGTCTAAGTAAAGGTAGATTGGGAAGTCCTTCTTACACTTTAGAGTTGGAAGAGATTTTAGAGACTGTTTAATCCAACACCTTTTTTAAATGACTAGAAGTTACATAGAAGCAGTCTTCCCAAAGATCTGATAGCTAGTGGCAGATATGCGTCTTTTAGCTATTATATGGCATTTGTCTAACTGCAAAGATGTAAGATAAGGAGTATCCAAGTACCCAAACTTGTTGAAGAACAGTAGTTAAAGGAAATTTGATTCTTGTAAGATGTCATCAACTATCAGAGTATAGTGAGTACATGAGCCTTTCAGATGTTGGTCTCTGGGTTTCCATGCTCATCCTGGTAGGGTCACAAGTGGTTACTAAAAGTGATTTTGTCGGGGGGTGCAAACTCTAGATCTGTGCTCTTTCATAAAATGTGCGTATTTAAATTAAAATTAAAGAAAATTAAAAATTCAGTGCCTGAGTTGCACTAGCCACATGTCAAGTGCTCAGCCTCATGTGGCTAGTGACTACCATATTGGACAGTGTAGATACAGAACATTTCCATCCCTGCAGAAAGTTTCATTGGACAGTGTTGTTCTAGGTAGTTATGCTGAGCCACCTCTATCTGTATTCACACCCCAGTTTTCTGGGAATTAGTCATATGATCCTAAATCAGAAACTTGAAACTGTAAGGATAATTTGGATGTAGTAAAACCCCGTGAAAGTATTGCTCAAGCTTGTCATTTAGATGTAAATAAGAGGAATAAAATTAGATTTTTTTTGTGACACAAAACAATTTTTCAGAAAATATTTGTTTATTGAAGTTTACAGTATGCCTGGTATCAGAAGAAAGTTTGTATAAAGATAATTTTTAGGAAGTTTGGTTTAAAAGCAAAGTGACTCAAACACAAATAGGAACCATATTCATTTTGGTGGTTTTAAAGTAAGAGATGTAAATTTGCATTTGTAATACAGCTTCTCCTAATTAGGACAGAAAAGATATATATATAGATATAGATATTTTTTTTTGTGTGTGTGTGTGTGTGTGTGTGTGTGTGTGTGTGTGAGGAAGATCAGCCCTGAGCTAACATCCATGCCAATCCTCTACTTTTTCCTGGGGAAGACTGGCCCTGGGCTAACATCTCTGCCTGCCTTCCTACACTTTATATGGGACGCCGCTACAGCATGGCTTGACAAGCAGTGCCTCGGTTCGTGCCCGGGATCTGAACCTGGGCCGCCAGCAGCGGAGCGTGCACACTTAACTGCTACACCATGGGGCCGGCCCCCAGAAAAGATATTTTTTAACTTCAAAAACAGTCTGTACTTTTAGTTTTGTAAGTAGACAGTCATCTACTGGTAAAACATATTGTTGAATCTTCTCAGTCTTGGGGAGAGTTGAGAAAACAATCAGTAAAAAAATTGGTATCTTTTACCTTCTTAAAGGATATATTATGTCTTAAATTATATCTATCTTATTTCTTTCTTAAAGCGGAGATGTTATGTCATGGATAGACATAACATTTTAAGTGTTCTATGAAGAAAAAATGATCAAAGTGTGAATAGTATACTTTGCTTTTTGGGTCAAGATGTATTAATAAATAAATCTAGTGTAGAGGATTGTTGTAAATACCACATGGCAAGAAAGGAGTATTTGTTGAGATTGCCTGTCTAGTATTCCTTCTGTAGTTCTTCTAATAAACGTGAAGAGTTGAGGGAAAAAAGGACTTGGAATCTCACTTACTTTGCCCCATATCATCTTATTTTTTTCCTTCATTTTTTTCTCTTCTCCATGATTGTCCAAGGTTACCCAGCCTCATTAAAGTTCTTAGTTTTAGGTTGATTTGAAGCTGACGTGATGAAAATAGCATCAGGGTGTGAAGAAACAGTAGACTTACCTTGCCTAGTGGGAATTTACGTTTCAAAGTAGAACTTGCCGACTCATTAAATGAAGCACACATGTAAAGCATTTAGCATAGTAAGTTATCTGACACATGGCACTCAAATATTAAGAGCCATCAGTATTTGTAAGATAATTGTAGTAGTAGTTTATCAGTCTCCTTTCCATTGGTTGAGAGTATGTGGAAGATACTTTTGAACTGTGGATCGTCTGATGTTATTGATCTACCTGTGGCAGCTTCCCTTTTTCCTCTCTCCCTTATCCCTCACCCCAGTACATTGTTTTCTGTAGTACATAAAATACTGCCAGTTACCTTCTTCATTTATAAAAGTGATTACAAACCCATGTAGCTCAGTAAAAACTCATAGTTTGGGTACAGAAGATATTCAAATCCTCAGAAGCATAAGAACTCGTATTTTGTTGTATTGTTATTGTCCTCTCTTTTTAAATGCATTTTAAATCTGTAAAGTATTAAACTATTCATGAAAATAGAACATAAAACTTAGCAGATGGTCATAAAGCCTTCAGAAGAAAAACTTTTAGCCGCATGTTATAATCGTTTTCTGTTTTAAAAGAATCTCTTCCAGGATTTTGTGTGTTATTGGCTCACTTGACTAATTTACCTCTTTAATTTTTATTTAGGGCTTTGACTCTTTCTTCTCCAGAAGTTCGATTCCACATGGACAGTGAAACTCATGATCCTATAGATCTGCAGACCAAGGAACTTAGGTATGCAGTTTTTTCAATGGGCAGTAGATAAAATTTTGATATTAAAAATAATGTCTAGTATATATGTTAATAAATAAAATATATTTATACCCTGATTATCTATTTCTCTTAGAGTTGTGATTTCTATAGATTTTTTTGACTTATGAAATATATAGAAAAGCAAATATGATTTCACTTTTTAGTTTTTCTTATGTAAAACTGAGATAAGTATCATAACAGAAAAATTTCTAATTTGAGTTGGTTTGTCTTTTTTTTTTCTTTTTTCTTTTTTGTGAGGAAGATCAGCCCTGAGCTAACATCCATGCCAATCCTCTTTTTGCTAAGAAAGACTGGCCCTGGGCTAACATCTGTGCGTATCTTCCTCCACTTTATATGGGGCGCTGCCACGGCATGGCGTGATAAGCGGTGCCTCGCTGCACACCCGGGATCTGAACCCAGGCCGCCAGCGTCGGAGTGCACACACTTAACCGCTACCCACGGGGCCGGCCCTGAGTTGGTTTGTCTTGATGTGCGATACATTAGAACTTGACTACTAATAGTTATAGCAAGTAAAAGAAAATTGCCCTGATTAATTTAAGTATTTAATATAGAATATACTGTGATAGGGTAGATTAGTGGTCAAGACCACGGGCTTGGAAGCAGACTGCCTAGGTTTGGATCCTACTTCTGCCAATAACTCTGCACAAGTTCTTTGACCTCTCTACACCTCAATTTATTTATTGGTAAAATAGAATTGATAGTAGGGTGTTGTGAAGGGTACTCGGATGTTAGGTATTGTTGTTACTGTTTTATTGATTTGGTTAAGATTTAGGAAGCAAGGCTATTTTTGGTTAAATCAGAATTAGGCCTCTTTTCCATGCCTCTTATGTAAAATAATTCTGAAATTAAACAGGCATTTACACTCCTCTAGTAGATGACCAGGGGTTAGAAATGGGAATATACTGAAATTTGTTCGTCAGGACCAGTATGTGCTTTATAGAATTAAAGCTAAAATTAAAAAATACTTTTGGGCAAACTTCTGTGCAATTAAGTCTAATGTTAATACAAACAATGAGCCCAGTACTAGGAGCTATTTTGAGGAAAATGTTGAATCCAGCTTGGCCAAAGTAGGCTATCACCCATTTCTTCTTACCAAGAAGAAGAAAAACTATATTTCTAAGAGATTGTCCCCATAGTTTTAAAGGTATGATTGGAGGTCTTCCTAATATTTTAGAAATTAATATGCTTTAGGAAGTATATTAGGAATAACTAGGATAAGTCAAGAAGTTATAAGATGTTAAAAATGGAAACATGAATGAAAGATTAATAATGCATGTTCATTGACTTGGGAGAAAGAAAGCACTATGTAAACAGGCAGTCATTTACTAAACTAAGTTTTAAATGAACATAGACTAACTATTAATAGAATGAAAGGCAGTATCAAATTGGTTAAGAGTTTTGAAGTCAAATTTTGTGGGCTCGGATTCTGTTACTCTTAATAACTCCAACCTTGAGCAAGAGAATAATGTTACACATCTTCACGTCCTTAGTCTTCTCATTTGCAAAACAGGGCTACTATGATATATATATACAATGCCTGGTCCATAATAATTAGCACCCAAAGTAGCTATTGTAAATATGATCTCTTCATTTTGGTGATTTATTGGTGAAAGTTTTAATTTTTTGTTATTGTTGAGGAAGATTATCCTTGAGCTAACATCTGTTGCCAATCCTCCTCTTTTTGTTGAGGTAGATTGGCCCTGGGCTAACATCCATGCTCATCATCTTCCACCTTATATATGGGACACCTGCCACAGCGTGGCTTGATAAGCGGTGTGTAGGTCCGCGCCCAGGATCCGAACCTGTGAACCCCAGGCTGCTGAAGCAGAGCATGCGAACTTAACCACTACGCCACCGGGCCGGCCCCAGACAGTTTTAATTTTTTAAGCCAAAATTTGTATGACCTAAATAGCTTTTAATTCTTCTTAGTAAACTTTATTTTTATGGATTTGTAGTTAAATAAAAATCTCTTTGGACTTAGTATAAGGAGATGAAAATACTTATGATTTAGATTTTTTATACAGTCGTGTGCCACATAATGACATTGCAGTCAACGACAGACTGCATGTATGACAGTGGTCTCTTAAGATTAGTACCATATAGCCTAGATGTATAGTAAGCTATACCATCTAGGTTTGTGTAAGTATACTCTGATTTCGCACAGTGACAAAATCGCCTAATGATGCATTTCTCAGAACATTCTCTCTGTCATTAAGCCACTCATGACTGTATTACTAAAGTTCATAAAACTTCTATTTTTTTAGTGCAATTTGTAAAGTCTCCTCTAGCATGAGATTTACTCATGCAGTAGATGCATAATAAGAGAATGTTAGCGTAGTAGCTGAGAAATGAAAGAGCCTTAAGTTATTAAAAATACACGTGTACACACACATGTGAATGTTTACATAGGAAATAGTTCCGTTATCTTGTTGGTAGAAAAGGTAACTTGTGAATAAATATGATATATGGAAGTCTCAGATTCTTTTTGCTTATTTCATGATTTTTCCATCGGCAGAGAAACAAATTCCATGGTAGAAGAATTTATGTTACTTGCCAATATCTCTGTTGCAAAAAAAATTCATGAAGAATTTTCTGAACATGCTCTGCTTCGAAAACATCCTGCTCCTCCTCCATCAAATTATGAAATTCTTATTAAGGCAGCTAAATCCAAGGTAAAGATCCCATAGTTTGAAAAATCATCTGTATTTGTGTTGTGTTCTATCCATGGCACTGAATAATTTTATTATCAATATTATTAGCTACATCTCCACAAAAGTTTTGTTGTTTCTTGATGCAGAACTACTTGATGCCAGTAGTTTTTTTGATTTAAAAAAAAGAAATCATCTAACTTGGGTTTAGTCATCTCTTCCCACATTGAAATCATTTGCTTAATAAAATCTTTTAATGTCTTGAAAGAGCACCCTATGCTAAAGCCAGATGTTCCCGACCCTTATTTGCAGTATCCTGAACATATTAAGTTCTTCCATATTTCTGTGCCTTTACACACATTCTTTATGCCTGTGTTACTTCATGCCTCCTCTGAAGTGCCTAACTTCAGAGACTTACAAATAATTTTTTTCTCTTTATCTTCAACTCACTTAAGCCCCCTTTATATCATGTTCCTAAGAAAGAAGTCCATTTATTGCATACATGAAAAGAGGAAAAATGTAGACAGGGCACCATTTCCTCAGCACTGTATACAGTACCCTGCCTCTGATTAGTTGACTTTCATTTAGGCATAATAACTCTTACCCCTGGGGTGACTGTGGCTTACATTGGTTTTCTTTGAATCACTTATCTAGGTCCCATCTTTCCTGTCCAGAAGAGAGCTGGAAGGAGTAGTGTTGGATCTCAGGGCATTATTCTAACAGGATGGCATTGGTTTCGAACCTTTTTCAGACCTTTATGGTGGGCCTACCCCTGTCATATCCATCAGAACAGAATCAGCTCCTCCTCTGCTATAAGGCTGACACTGTAAACTGGGGAATTTTCTCTTAAGACCTGGGAAGAGGAAGGAGGATTTAAGTATTTTTGCCTCATCTCCCCAAGTAGACCAAAGCAGCTAAGTTTGATGTATCAGCACATTGAGCTGTGGTGACCAGTACAGTTTTCTTTTGCCTCGGACCTTTACTTTTGCTTTGAGTGGAAGGAAATAATCTGCAGAGAAAATCCAGACATGCTATAAAGTATCCAGATCTGCTTTGATTTATTTCTACCCCGACAAAGATTAGGCAAACACAAATTGGACTTTGAGAAATAGCATTACTGCTAGCTACCACCATCCTTTTCTCCCTTGAAACTTCTTCAGAATGTTGATACTTCAGTACCTTTAAATGCATTCAGAAAATTTTAAGCTTCAGTGTTGCATGAAACAATTACTACTTTTTATAAATTTATTTTTAGTTCTCTTAGGGTAAGGATAAAAGGCGTAAATACTTATTATCTGGTCAAAAACACCATATTTGTTCAATCTGATTCATTGTATTTTGAAGACATGATGGTACTGATTTTAAAATGTTTAATATGGTACTCTTTCCCTCTTTATTCACAGAATTTGGAAATTAAAACTGATACAGCCAAGTCGTTGGCCGACTCTTTGGACCGGGCTGATTCTCCTAGTTTCCCGTATCTAAACACTCTATTAAGAATATTAGCCACTCGCTGTATGATGCAAGCTGTATACTTCTGCTCTGGAATGGATAATGATTTTCATCACTATGGCTTAGCATCACCGATATACACACATTTTACTTCGCCCATCAGAAGGTCCTTTTTCCTTATGAAGTTAAAATAGAAAATAGTTAATTTTGAATTTTAAAAAGACATCTTAATGCTAACGTGGCGTGATTCTTATTTCTCTTCCATGTATCTAGATATGCAGACATCATTGTTCACCGGTTGTTGGCTGTGGCTATCAGGGCTGACTGCACTTATCCAGAGTTGACAGACAAACACAAGCTTGCAGATTTATGTAAAAATCTCAATTTCCGGCACAAAATGGCTCAATATGCCCAACGTGCATCAGTGGCTTTTCATACCCAGGTATTTATTTGCCTTCTATTGATAATGTTAGGAGAGATGAAGTTTTGTTCCCTTTTTATTTAATTTCAAATATTTTTTTTTATTAATTTCAAGATCTTTGACAATTCTTAATAAGGCTGTATGTTGTTTTACAGTTATTTTTCAAAAGCAAAGGAATAGTAAGCGAAGAAGCCTATATTCTGTTCGTAAGAAAGAATGCGATTGTGGTGTTAATTCCAAAGTATGGTTTAGAAGGTACAGTCTTTTTTGAAGAAAAGGATAAACCAAAGCCACGGCTTTTTTATGATGATGAGGTACAGTATTTCTCATGTTTTTATTTATTTATTTATTTGGGGGGTACTTTTTCTTTGATAGGTTACCAATGGTACCTGAAAGGGTTATTTTTTGAACCCTACAGAATTTTTTTTTTTTTTTTTTTTTTTTGTGAGGAGATCAGCCCTGTGCTAACATCCGCCAATCCTCCTCTTTTTTTGCTGAGGAAGACGGCCCTGGGCTAACGTCTGTGCCCATCTTCCTCCACCTTAGCTGGCCAAGCAGTGCGTCGGTGTGCGCCCAGGATCCGAACCAGCGAACCCCGGGCCGCCGCAGCGGAGCGCGCGCACTTAACCGCTTGCGCCACCGGGCCGGCCCCTGAACCCTACAGAATTTAATTATGCCAACTAAGCTTATCATTTTACTCACAATTTCTCACCTCAGTATTTGTTCCCACATACAAAGGTCCTTGATTTCTTTCTTTTATACCATGTAAAGATTTCGTCTCTAAGAAGACTTGATTTACTCTTTGCCCTAGGTGGACAGATGGATTAAAATGAAGGAATAAATGGCTGCTTAGAGCTCCAGGAAGAGAATTTTTTTTTTTTTTTTTTGTATTTTTTGTTTATTGCAGTAACATTGGTTTATAACATTGTATAAGTTTCAGGTGTACATCATTATACTTCTATTTCTGCCTCAAGAATTTTTTTAACCTATTTCCAGTGTCTCTTACCTGGCATGCTCCCGCCTCCCTAACCTTAGTAGAACAATAATAAACTCTGCCTGCAGTGCCTTTGTGCTCCTCTCCTAGACCCACAATTTGCTGATTAATGGGGTGAGAATCCTGAGATTAATGAATATATATTGGGACCATCTTAAAGGAGGGAGTATGCACATAAATAGCTCATATTTATGTGAGGCTACTAGATTAGTGGTTTTTGTTATATTGGACACCTAGATGTGCTTATTAAATATTGAAGTAATTTTTAAATTTAAACTTTTAAATCACTATGAAAGATAAACTATAAAGAATTAAAACAAAGCCTCAAGTGAATGGAAGCAATTAAAAATAGTAAAATGTGTTTTGTTTAGATACCTTCACTTAAAATAGAGGATACAGTGTTCCATATATTTGATAAAGTTAAAGTGAAAATCATGTTAGACTCATCTAATCTTCAGCATCAGAAAATCCGAATGTCCCTGGTAGAACCACAGGTAAGAACCGAATTTATATTATCCATGTTGTGGTGGAACAAACAGTATGTATCTTATGAAAGAGGAGGATATAGTCACAAGTCTTTTCTGTTTAATGATCGAGGGAATCCTGTAAGTAGTGTAGAGGCCAAATTATTTGCATAGCAAATCCTTTTTTCTCACTGATTTCACTAGGCCGTGGGATCCCAGAAGTCTAGGGTTCTTCTGAGGTGCTTGGTGCCAAAACCAGAGCTCTTTGAGATCTCTGCCTAGTCCTTTTTCGCTTCCATCAGTTTTGAAATCTGCACTTTTGAAGATTAGGATAAAGTGTGTTTCACCTAAGATATTGGTTCTTAGCCTTTGTTCTGCCCCAGCACACCTGAGGCTTCTAATGCTGACAGTCACAGTGGCTCAGTTAGGATAAATTGGACATGTTTTGTTAAACACACACTACCCAGTGACATGCTTCTCACCTATTGAGATCATGTCTTCTTTTTACATTTTTGAACCACTGTAACTTTGTGTGTGAAATATGTATACTTTGTATAGAAAATCTTTACCAACGCCCTTTCCCCCCTCTACCCCTACCTCCTTTTGAACTTCAAAGTGTCAATGGGGAAGGAGAAGATGAGAATGAGATTTATTCCTTATTTTATGCTTTTACTCACCTTATTTTTCTGCATTTGCATTACTTTAGATACCAGGAATAAGCATTCCCACTGATGCCTCAAACATGGACATTAATGAACCAGAGAGAAAGAAGAAGAAGATTGAAAAATAGCTACAGTCAAAAAATAAACTTCAAAGATTGGTTTCCTTTTAAAAAAAAATTGAAAGACACTTCTAAATCTAAGAAGTGTGTGATACAGTTTGTTACTTTTAAGTACATTTTAATAATTTTAAAAATTTGCATTTTTATTGAACTGTTGACTGTCCCATCATACTACTTCATTTCTGGATTGAACAGAACTATTTATGCAGAAAAATTCAATTGAATATCCATCACTTAAATAGTGACAGGATAGCAACTTCAGGGATCTGTAAAGATCATTTAAAGGGAGCATTCATTTGCTCATTGAAGAGCAGATTAATTTTGCATAAGTAATTTGATTATTTAATATTGATAGAAAAAATCCGTCATTTTCCTATGGAGAAAAATCGAACATTTTTAGAAGCAAGTAACAGTCTACTCTCTAAATCTTGAAAGCTGTCAGTGTTTGGTATGGCAATTTTTAGATTTCAAGACAGTGAAGTCAAAATCTGTCAGGGAATTCAATATTTAATCTCCCTCGCCATCTTTAATTTATCTAACTTTTTTAAGTGTTCCCTTATTGTTAAAAAGCCTCCTGCATTTTATTAGTGGTCCTTGAACAGCTGTGAATGTTTAGGAATTGGATGTTGTAGGAAGGTGAGAAGTAGGATATTTTGATCTGACTGGAAAAATAGTTTTTGGTATACCAGGTAATAAGTGTGATCATCATGTTTGACTGTCAGCTCAAATATCTCCCCCAAAATAAGGCATTAGGGCTCAAAGAAATAATAGAGATGGTACTTTAAATGTCACATCATGTTACTTATAAAATAAAAAGTAGGTAATTAATGACTTTTAAACTATGTATGTATCAGATTATATAGGAAAGGGGGGACTGTATAAGGACATATTAAAAGGAACAGATTGGAGTATTACAATTTGGTGTGCCGGTGACTACTTCCCTTGTTAACCACAAAGATTAGCGATGATTAAATTGGTGTTTTCGAGAATATTTTGAGATAGTTACCTTACAACATTTTGCTTACTCAATTTCTAAAGTACCTATGGTGTACCAGGCTCATCACCAGTCACATAAACTATCTTGTCTGCCTTGAAGGAGCTTGCGGTACAATGAGAAAAGACTGGCAACTACGTCAGTAGGTATACTAAGTGGGAATAATTAGAACGTGTACAATCATTTAGGCACTCGATAATTGTTAAATGATTGTTCTGGTTTCCTGTTACTGAGGAAAGCATCCATACATTGAGGCAGAACTTGTTTCAGTTGATGGAAGAGAGCCTTGAGTGGACTAACAGTGTACACTAGAGCACAAGTTAGCAAACCTTTTCTGTAAGACATTTTAGACTGTGCTGGCTGTATAGTCTCTGTTACAACCAGAGGACTCAACTTCCCTGCTCTACAGAGCAAAAGCAGCCACAGACAGTATGTAAACAAACGAGCATGGCTACGTTCCAACAAAACCTGATTTATGGACATGAAAATTTAAATTTCATAATTTTGTGTCACAAAATATGACTCATTTGATTTCCACACCACCCCCCCACCCCCAACCATTTAAAAATTCTTTGCCACGGGCCATAGCTTATCTGCAGTAGAGGAAAAGGGAGGCTTCTTGGTAAAAGACAATAACCTTAGGTTTACAGTTACGTGTTGTTTAACGAAGGGGATAGTTCTGAGAAATGTGTCATTAGGTGATTTCATCGTTGTGCGAACATCAGAGTGTACTTAGACAAACCTACATGTTATAGTCTGCTACACACCTAGTCTTTATCCTACTAATCTTATGGGAGCACCGTCGTATACACAGTCTATTCTTCACTGAAACGTTATCATGCGGAGCATTACTGTATTTATCTTTCCAAGTTTGTTTTCTTGTTCCTCATTTATGAGGAAGACCTAATTTAGACATTAATCCCTTTTGAGTAGTTCAAGATGACCAGAAACGTTATTTTCACCCTACAGTCTCTTCCTAGGTAATCTAAAACGCTTCTAGTGCCAGTTCTTATGCTAAGCAGTTTACATGGAATATTTCACTTAAGAAGCCCTGTTGAGTAGGACTATTACCCTCATTTACAGATAAAAATTGAGGTTTTATAGACCAGATCAAGTAGTAGGTGATCGAAGAGGGATATGAATCCAAGTAAGTTATAATCACTACTGTTGTTTCTTGGCTTGTGATATTAAAAAAACGTAGCCAGGGAAGCTCCTACCCTTAGGATCTAGAAATCCTCTCATGTACAGCAATTAAGTTTATATTGATTCTAAAGTCAGTGTGATTAAGGACACAACTTCTAATGCAGTATCTTTATTGATGGACCTAGTGGCTAATGGCTTTAATGGTTAGTGTGCTGGGGGAGAGGATGAGCCAGGTACACAGGAAGAAAGTTTTTTGCAGGTTAGCAGTGAGCTTACAAGGTGCGAAAAAGGAAGAAAAGGACACAGTGATAGTATGTCTTTATTTCCTAGGGCTCCATATGAATTATTATTCTAAAAGGTGATTTGTAAATATGAATATACATTCTCCAAAGGTAAAGACTATTTCCAAAAAATTTATATACCATTCTACTCTCAACATGAATATGAGTTTTAAAAAAATTAGTTACATGTCTGCCCAACCGTAACTTCATAGGTCTAAAGCCCTACAGCAACTCCCCTGTCACCCGGTTGGTCCCCACTGTTGATCCTGGTTCTCCCGTGTTCTTATTCCTCTCCCTAGCCAAATTTGAGCTAGAAAGGATGTCTCTACCTTAGGGATGGAGATATATTCTGGGCATCCCACATTTACCCCACTAATTAATTATAATACATGATATTAAGATGCTGTTAGTACTACCTTTGTAGTATTTACATTTTTCGAAGTAGTAACTAGACCAGTTATCACTGGAACTAAGAATTTCACAGAAATTAACAAATAGTTCAAAAAAGAAAATTTTTGGAAAGCTCCTCCCTACCTCTTCAATTAAGTTTGTTTTATATCTAAATCAGATTTATTTCACATAGGTTATAAATTTAAATTCATCTGTATATTCACATTTTTATGTAAAATAAAACATAGTACCTTCACAGTTCCACATGTTCTCAGAACTACTGCTGAATTCAGTGCTGCCAGTAAGGCTTACTATTAGCAGTTCATTGACCCTGTAGGCTAGGAGCAAAGTCATCACTCTCAAGATTTTTGTTAAACACATCACTCAAGGTAAGTACAAAAATATTTATTGATAAAAAATAAACTTGTACTTCAGCAACTTGTTGAAAGTTCCAGGAGCTCTTCTGTTGTTCCTGTGTCACTAAGTTAAGCCCTCGATTTTTCACATTTAAGAAGGGAAAGAAAAATGCTAAGCATATTAGTTGAAGCAATTTTTTTCCCAGTGACAATCACATTATTGATCTTGTGCATAAAAAATATTCAAGGGGCTCTTCAGTGATAGTCTTTGGGTATTCCAGGGACTGCCGCACTGAGGATTTGCTGTGTTCATCAACACCTCTGTGTTGTGTGGTTTTGCTGTCAAAGAAGAAAATACCTCATGTTCAGTTTCAATAGGACCATTCAAGGACACAACTATTATGTGCAATGTTTTTAAAATGAATGCACATTTCATTAGGAACTCTAAAGGGACAGTGAAGATAACGGTTTTTTACAAATCATTATTCTGTATCAAAAAGTTCTTCCTGTATCTTAATTGCTTGCTTACTTTTAAATGGACAACTACAATCCCACCTCATGACAAAGTGGAGGAAAGGGAAAATAAAGTGGCCTTGATATTAAATGTTAGTATTTGTCTGGGAGTTAAGTTGCACACTTGCTGATGTTTTATTGTGCTTATTAATAAATTGGCATATAAAAGGTAAAGATTCTCCTGATTAGTGCCTAAAATTATGATGGCTTTCTTCAAATATGAATATATAGTTATAACCATCCTATCTAGAACGTTCATCTAAATGTCCTCATCAATAGTATACTTTTGTATAAATACTTAGTATGTAAGATACGCAAGTGTTATCTCATTCAGAGCATCTAAAATCTATGAAGGCTTTTGGATTTTAAAAGCCCTTACCTTTGAACGCTCTTAATTTGATGTGTAGTCTCTCAATTGTACTATTTCGCTCTCTAATAATCAAATTCTTTTTTATGTTTAGCTTTGAGACAATATTAAAGGCAAAAACCTGACTCTCCTCCTATTTGGCCCTCCTAGTCCTCTTCCCCTTGAGTTTTAAGGAAGTGATTTCAAGTACCAATCTTAAAGTAGTAACCCTACTTTAAGCCTTCTCCAGCCTCTTTGCTCCCTCATAGCAGAAGAGTTAGGAAAATGAAGTATTTTGATTTAAAAACCACTTTCTCCTGTGGTTAAATGAACTGAAACAGGATGAGGCATAAACAGATGCCAAAATTTTAAGCAAAATGGAGGGAGAAAATAGACTGAAAAGTCACGTTTAGTAAATACTTATAACCTACAGCCATATCAAGCTTGCTGTTTTTTCCATACCTTTGTGTTAAAAATGAGATTTATTCTCAACTTCCAATGTTTGTGCATCACTTTCTTTGCAGTAACTTTCTGCCCCAACCGTATCCATAATATTGCTTCCACAATTCTGTGTATTATAGCCACTATCCATCTGACAAGAATGAGAAGGAGGAAAAGAAAATTACCAAGGATAACACTGCAAATTGTAATTCACTTATCACAGAATTTATTTTGAGGAACTTTTGTGTGTGTGTGT